AGTTTACTATATACAGTCTCAAAAACAAACAAAATTGTTTTTTTGGGGTTTTTTTCTTAATTTTATTTATTTTGCTGTTGAGAACATACACCGTCATCGGGCAGGAGATAGTAAAAACACCACCATAACCAGTCACACACGCCACAATTTTCACCTCACCTACTCGGCCAGTGCTACCACCTGCTCGGGCACTACTGAGTCAATGGTTGTAGCCAACACCTATTCTGCCTTCAGTTTCTCTACATAACCAGGAAACAGATAACCACATCCATGTGCCCTTCCGCTAGGCCACCAACCTGGAGAGAGGTAGTGTTCACTTCAGTTCTCCCAAACTACTGAATGAATCCATGCCCAGTTCACCCAACTGGGAATATCAAAACATAACAAAAAAACAAAAATCCGGGAGAAAAAAAAACATACAATCAACAAACAAATAAAATTAGACCACAATGTCTCAGAGACAACTTAAAATCACACCAAGAGAGAAAGATGAGATGGCTCAAGCAAATAAAATAAAGAACTAGAAAATGTCCTGAGGAAGACAAGGGAAATGGAATTACCAGATAAAGAATGTAAAAGTTCTATATATATTGCGTCTTTCAAGAGATTAAATAAAATATAGGCAAAATCAAAGATGCCCAAATCACTGCCATTGAGTTGATGCCAACACACAGCAGCCCTACAGGACAGGGTAAAACTGCTCCTTTTGGTTTCTGAGACTTTAAGCTCTTATGGGGGCATAGACAGCCCAATCTCTCTCCCATGGTGCATCGGTGGGTTCTAACTGCAGCCTTGGCCATTAGCGCCTCAGTGTGCAGCCCATACATCACCTGGGCCCCAAAATAAAGGACAACAGACTGAGAATTCCCAAAGAATGCATTTAAACAATACAAGAAACCAAAGAATGCATCAAGACAATCAGAAACCATAAAAAGCTGCAATTAGAAATCCAGAAAATCAATGCTAAAATTTCCGAAAGATGTAACGTGTAAAAAGGCAAGAGAGAAAAATTAAATCAGTGGAATACAGTATCAACAAAATAAAAGAGTGAATAAATAAATCAGGAAGAATTACGTGGGACATAGTCAAGAGAAACAATTTATATGTGATCAGAATTCTAGAATAGGAAAAGGCACACACACACAAAAAGGAACATTCCCCCCCCCCCAAAGATT